ATATTGAACATCCACATAAGTCCCTGCCCTTGAGTAGCTTACAATCTAAGGTCCCTAACTCACACTCATACATACACATACTAACTTGGGCTATGTTTAGGCAGGAGCCAATTAACCAACCAGCATGTGATTGGAGTGTGGGAGGAAACCGGAGTACCTAGAGAAAATAGGCACAGGGACAACATGCAAACTCCATGCGTGTAGTGCCATTGTAGGGATTTGAACCAAGGACCCTAGTGCTGCCAGGCAGAAGTGCTAACCATTTTAGAGCAATATACAAAGTAACAATCTGGTTACTCTTTTCAGGGCTAAGGGTTCAGTGCTGCCAGTCTTTGCATCCACTTCCACTACAGCAGCGATGGCTGCTTGGCATTTTTGGGGGTAGATTTCCTGATGGTGACAACGCAGGAGCATATTTGGGAGACCGGGACAAAGGGTTGACACCCCGAACAAGAACCTTCAATGCAGGATCACCATTCATTGTTTAACCACATGCCACCCAGCCACTGTATAAATAGGGCGGCGGCACAGCTGGGCAAAAGCACGGTTTAAAACGTGTGTTTTGTAAACAGGTAGGGGGCACACGCCGCCGCCGCCCTACCTGTCCTGCCAATCACAGCTGCGGATGTCAGTCGCCGGGTCACAGCCGGTCGTTACCGGCTATGTCCCGGCGATCGGCGGCAATCGGTGACAGAGAGCACAGCTGCAGTAGCTGTGCTTTCTGTCAGTTCCCTGACAGCTCCAGGACACGCTGAATGGGACAGAAGAGTTTCTCTCTCCCGATCAGCAGTGTTCCCTGCAGTACACACCCCCGCCCCCTAGTAAAACACTCCCCTCACACAGTTAACCTTTTCCCTGAATAATAAACTTAACCCCTTCCTCCCCAGTGCCATTAGTACAGTGTCAGTGTTTTTTTTTTTGTTTTTTTTTTTTTGCACTGATCACTGTATTGGTGTCAGTGGGGATGTCAGTGACCCCAAGTCAGTACCCCCCCCAATGTCAGAATGTCCGCCGCAGTCCCGCCATAAGTCACTGATCGCCGCCATTATTAGTATGAAAAAAAACTAAAAATCCCAGTATCTTTCCCGCCATTTGTAAACACTATAACTTTCACGTAAACCAATTAATTTACACGTAATGGATTTTTTTTTTAACAAAGACGTCGCAGAATGCATTTTGGCAGAAATTTTATGACTAAATTTTGATTTTTAAATTTTTTTTTTTTTTTTTTTTTACTGGACATGTTTTATAACAAAAATCCAAAATATTGTTTTTTTTTTCTCCAAAATTGTCAGCCTTTTTTTTTTGTAGCGCAAAAAATAAAAACTGCACAGGCGATCAAATACCACTGAAAGAAAGCTCAATTTGTGGGAAAAAAAGGATGTAAATTTCATTTATGTACCGTGTTGCATGACCGCGCAATTGTCCATTAAACTAGCGCAGCGCTGTATAGCAAAAAAAGTTGTAAATTGCAGTAACTATACCATAGTTTGTAGACGCTATAACTTTCACGCAAAGCAATCAATATACACTTATTGGGATTTTTTTTACCAAAAACATGGAGCAGAATACATTTTGGCCTAAATTTATAACCAACTTTGAGTTTACTATATATTTTTTATAGCTGAAAGTAAAAAATATCGTTTTTCTTCAAAATTTTTGGTATTTTTTTGTTTATAGCGTGAAAAATAAAAAGCGCACAGGTGATCAAATACCACCGAAAGAAAGCTCTATTTGTGTGAAAAAAAAGGACATTAATTTCGTTTGGGTGCAGTATTGCATGACCGCGCAATTATCAGTTGAATTAGTGCAGCGCTGAGTAGCAAAAAGAGGCCTGGTCATTAAGGGGGTATATCCTCTGGAGGTCAAGTGGTTAAATGAAAGCTGCAAATTTGAAAATAATAAATTACTTTTGAAATGACATTACATGTTAAAGCTTATTTTAGATTTTATTCATTGGGTTTATTGAAATACTGTTCATTGTGGTACATAAAAATGTAATCTGTGCATACCTCACATCAAGCTTTTATATAGAAGTACATATAGGTGGGTAGGTGATGTTTTATCAGTGGCATGTTACAGTCTTAGCCCGGATTCACTTACTGTATGTGCCGGACAGTTTTCCCAGCGTGATTTCAGGCACCTCCAGTGCAACTTTGTTCAGCAATTAAGGTTGCGATTTGTCAAAGTGTGTGATGTTGGAAATCGCACCCGAACCAGGCTCAAAATCATACCTGACTTTTTGAAAAAAACGCTCTATGGCTGGGCCGCACATATGTGAACCGGCTGCATTGAAAAGGCTGTAGATGTCATGCAAATCGGATGTGGTTCAAAACGCATCCAATTTGCATATATGTGAACCAGGACTTACTGCTGAAGTTTAATGTGCCTATACACCGTGTACACAATTATTAGGCAAGTGTGTATTTTGACTAAATCATTATTTTTCTGCATATTGTCCAACTCCAAGCTGTATAAACTTGAACGCATTTGGATTTAAGCATATCAGGTGATGTATATTTGTGTAATGAGGGAGGATGTGGTCTAAGGCTGGCCATACATTATACAATTATCTGCAGATTTTCTGCCCAATTTTCTTTAGATTTACCTTCAACTGTGTAGTGCAAGGGCCTGCCTAATTGGATACAACTGAAAGTGTTGTTTAGGTTTGTCCTCCTATTATATGGTTTTTGGTAAATCTAAACCAAAAATCTGCAGATAATTGTATAATGTATGGCCAGCCTAAGGAGATCAACACCCTATATCAATGTGTACATAATTATTGGGCAGCTTCTTTTCCTCAGGCAAAATGGGCCAAAAAAGAGATTTAACTGACTCTGAAAAGTCAAAAATTTTAAAAATGTCTTAGAGGGGTGCAGCACTCTGGAAATTGCTAAGATATTGGGGCGTGATCACAGAACCATCAAACGTTTTGTTGCAAATAGTCAACAGGGTTCCAAGAAACAGGAAAAAAAAGACGCAAATTAACTGCCAGAGATTTAAGAAGAATCAAATGTGAAGCTACCAGGAACCCATTATCCTCCAGTGCTGTCATATTCCAGAACTGCAACCTACCTGGAGTGCCCAGAAGTACAAGGCGTTCAGTGCTCAGAGACATGGCCAAGGTAAGGAAGGCTGAAACTTGACCACCACTGAACAAGACACATAAGTTGAAACGTCAAGACTGGGCCAAGAAATATCTGAAGACAGATTTTTCAAAGGTTTCATGGACTGATGAGATGAGAGTGACTCTTGATGGACTACATGGATGGACCTGTGGGTGGATCAGTAACAGGCACAGAGCTCCACTTCAATTCCAATGCCAGCAAGGTGTAGGTGGAGTACTGGTATGGGCTGGTATTATTAAAGGTGAGCTTGTTGAAACATTTTTGGGTTGAAGATTTTTTTTTAGAAGACACTTTCTTCAAGCAGTGATACAGGAAAAGGTCTGCATTTTTCAAGAAGACAAAGATATTTATGCAGATTAATGCTCCATCGCATGCATCAAAGTACTTACTGCGTGGTTAGCCAGAAAAGGCCTTAAAGATGAAAGAATAATGACAAGGCCCCTTTTCTCACCTGATCTAAACCCTATTGGGAACTTGTGGGCCTCCCTTAAATGGGAGATTTCAGATGAAGTAAAACAGTACACCTCTCTGAACGTTGTCTGGGAGGCTGTGGTTGCTGCTGCACAAAAAGCTGATCGTCAACAGATCAAGAAACTGACAGATTCCATGACAGGCTTATGACTTTATTGAAAAAAAAGGGTGGCTATATTGGCCACTGTTTTGTTTTTTTTTTTGTTTTTTTTTGTGTTTTTTTTTAAATTTTGAGTTATTCTCACTTTACCAGATGAAAATAGACACGTGAGATGGGAAAATTTTCATTTAGTTGCATAAAATTTTGCACACTAATAGTTGCCTAATGAATGTACACACCTATATATTCTCATAAAGCCACAACCTCAATATTACTTTCTTAAATATTCAGGTTTGAGGTTTATGAACATTTTGGATTGACTGAGAGCATTGTAGTTCAATAAAGAAATGAATTCTCAAAAATGAGACTTGCCTAATAATTGCGTACACAGTGTATTTTGCCTTCTGGTTTCCCGACTTTAAACCAGGGAAGCGCACTACTATTGTATCCTGTGTGTTTGGTGCGCTTTTTGAAAGCTCACCAAAATGTCTGAATGTAGGAGTTTTGGTGCACATTCAAAAAGTGCACCACACCTGCAAGATCTATAATAGAAATCTATAGCAAAGTGCAGGAAAGCTGCAGGTGCACTGTGCTGCACCCATGATGCGAGTAAACAGCATCCCATCCGTGTGATTTCAGCCTTATAGGGGCCTCCGGACAGTAAGGGCTTGTCTACGTTTTAAGTTTGCGGACCCCCCCAACAAATAGTGTGTTGTCATTGTCAGTCAGGTGACCCTGCCCCATGCTCCAGGGGGCCCATGCGGCCTCTCTGTCATATTGTTTTACACTTGGGACAAGAGGGGCGGCATATACAGGAACTGATCCTTTCCATTTTCCTCCTGCAACCACTGAAAGCTGGCTTCTCTCCCTCACTCCTAGCATGCAGCGGCTGCAGGAGGAAAATGTTCTTTATGCTGTTAAAAAAAAAAAAATACAAAATTATGAACCATTTCATTTCATTGTGGCCCACAGCCAGTTACCAAATCACATAAATGGCCCGCGCTTTTCAAAAGGTTGAACAGCCCTGGGCTAGGCGATGCTAGATGTCCTCCAGCCAGGAAATAAGGTAGGCTTTGTCTGACTTGCTGCAGCATCTAATGCATATTGTGAGGAGCTCACAGTGTGCAGTGAAATCAGAGTAAGCAATTTCAGTCCAGGAGGGGAGCCGGTACAACTGCACACGACTGAAGGGAAGGCTGGAGTTCAGCTTTAACAGTGTACATTTTTTTTTTTTTCTTCCTTGCAGGGCTGTGCCTACAGACCAGAAGAGGATGATTCAGAGGCTGTGACCAGCGGATACCATGGCAAGCTTGACTCTTCTGCTGATCTCTCATGTGATTTTCCTGGGTAGGGCTGCATTTACATTACCAATGCTCATTGTTCGTACATCTGTCACAGCGGTGGGATGTGTTCATTAGGTACATGGGAAGGGCAGTGATGACAGGCAGAGTACAGGCACCCATTGTAACCAACCAGATTTCAGGTTTGCCCAGGAGAAATCTGCTTGCTGTGAGTGACTGTACTTTGCACATTGGTTGCCCTTTATTTAATAAACCTGAATTCCTACAAACAGCCAATCAGATTTTCCCTTTTATTTTAGAACCTTCTGTGAAAGGAAGATGCTAACTGTTTGCTTTTTAACAACACAGACTTTTTTTTGTCAGAAACGTTTATGCTGAATAAAATATTACTTCCCTAGTGTAGCTTGAGACACCGAGCTTCCACTTTAGTTATGCAATGGAAACTTGACTTCTGCTTTTATTAGGACTTTACAAACATGTCCTCATATAATCTGTATAATATGGAATTGGTCAATTCTCCTTTCCACATCAGGTTCAGGTCCTTTTTGAGATATTTAATTTTTAATGTGTATATTTTATACATGGTTTTATGACATTTTGAACTTTGTTTATGCACTTACTTTGATTTTAGTATACAGGTTTCTCATGTTCTATAGCCCTGACGGAGGGAGTATGTGACTCCTGAAATCCCTGTACAACTTTGTGTGCTAAGGTAGCAAGTGTTTAGTACGAAAGAAAAGTTCAGCATTTATTTAAAGCAAACCTGTGCCTATATAGTGCAATGCAGCAGGTTTTCTTTGTCCCCCCCCCCCCCCCCCCCCCCATTTTCAGTGGCAAAGAGAGAAAAAAAAAAAGCCCCCCCCCAAAGGTTGTTGGTATGGAGGAACATGCTGCTATATCGCCCACCACTAAGCTCCATCTCTTTCACGTGGGGGGAATGTTAGTCTTGTGTCCTTAATGGTTTCATAGGTTCGACAGGCTGACTTTTCTTTCTTCCAGCGGAAAAGTGGTGGGAGAGTGGAGGAAAGGGGAGTTTGTGATGCTGGGGAAGAGAATTTAACCCCACCAGCGGTATTCCTGAGTGTAGCTCCGGGGTAAAGTTTCAGTACCAAAAGCGGTAACCCCAAGCTACACTCAGGAATGCCTTGCAGTGTTGCTCCGGGATCCCTGTTTCACTTACCTTATCCTGCGCTCCCGCGTTGTCCCCCCCCCTGCAGCGTCCCCAGCCATCTCCTCCAGCCGATGCCGGCATCCGGGTTCCGTTCCCTGCGAGCGTCAGTATGTACGGGGGACGGAACGGCGGGAAATTCAAAAATTTAAAAATGTGATATTCACTCAATACACTAAAATCTGTTAGGATTCCATTACTGTAACAAAGCATTTCACATACATTTTGTCCCGAGTGCTTTGTCCTGTGCCCTGCCTGCATTTTTACTGTTCTTTCTGCCTGGAAACTGAGAAACGTCCATGGCGTCCAAAAAGCGTCCCTTTAGGTCAAAATCGGTTTTAGACCGGCTAGAGAACAGCGATAGTAAATCAGAACTACTTGCAGAATTGAGTGATAATGATTCGTGCGGAAATTCGTCATCAGACACTGAAAACGATTTTGCGGCTGAACTCGGCGATGTGTGAACTTGGCGCTAGATTTCAAATTTCAGTGTTTTTGGTTTGATTACATTATTGAATTACATTTATTATTATTATTACATTATTCTTTTTTTATGATTATTATATTATAATTTATGGTTTCGTGTTTCAAGTTTTATCATACCCGGGATGTTTACTAGACTCTTGCTCGGACAGATTTCAGTGAGTTATTCCTAAGAATTACAGGCTTACAATAAAAAAACAACATATTTCCATGAAAAAATGTACCGCTTTGAGCACAGAAATACTGACATAATCAGACCGCTAGGGAGGGTAAAGGATGACTTAGAGGATAAGTTCACCCCCCAATCCCCATTGTGTCACATAGTGGGGGAATCTTCCCCCCCCCAATAGCTGTCACAATTTAAAAAAAAGAAAAAAGAAACGCCACTCATTCACAGTTGGCTGTTGGCTTGTAGTTCTCAAGCTGTGAGCACCATGGTTGTTCGTTGAGTCTACCAATCATAGTATATCCGCCTGGTCGTATGATGTACGGGCAGACACATACACTGACAGGTCTGCAGAAGACCAGCATGGCACCAGCGATCTTGGTGATTTCTGGCGCACTTCTTTAGAGGTTCTAGAACAAAGGTGTCAAACACAAGCCCTGCGGGCCGAATCCGGCCCTCCAGGCCATTTCATGTGGCCCTTGCACCTCTCCTGCAGCTATAGTACCCCCTTGTCTCTGCCCCCACCTTGTCGCAGCAGAGAGGAGGACAGAACTCCTCCGCCAGATCCTGCACCTCTCAGTGCAGCTGCAGCACCCCCTCATCTCTGCCTCCCCCGATCTCAGCATTCAGCAGACTCCACTCAGAGGTAACTGACTCCACTCCTCCTCTGGTCCTCTTCCAACCCTGCACTTTTGGTTTCCCAGCTCTGCCCCCAAAAGGGGGGGGGGGGGTGCACGGTGATGTTAGGAGGGTGCTCTGGACATCTAGTCTTACAGATAAAACCGGCCCTTTGAGGGCGACCATAATGCTGATACGGCCTGTGATGAAATGGAGTTTGACACCCTTGTTCTGGAAACAAAAAATAACTGCACGTTTTTTTTGGGGGGGGGGGGGGGGGGGTTTACCTGCAAAAAATATGCATTTATTTTTTGTTAAAAGGTGAACTTAGAGTAGGACAGTAGGTAAGCCGAGATTTGAAAACTTTGGGACTACATTGCTCCGTCCATCACTAGTACCCTTTTAATTTATTCAATAAAAGTTGAAGCTATACTAAATACCTGCTGATCCTGCCAGTGTCCTCGGGATACATGTACCTCCTCTTGATTTCTGACCATGCTAAGTACAGAAGCCGATCTGCGCTAATGTGGTTAGTTTGCACCCTTGTCTCTTCTAATGGGTCTTACTGGATGCTGTGCTGTGGGGTGCCTATAGTCCTACAGTCTTCGACATCGCTGTGGTGCTTATCCCCCCCCCCCACCCCCTCCCCCCCCCCCCCTCACCCTGGGTGCTCCTCCCCCCCCCCCCCCCCCCCTCCTCCTCTGAGGAGCTTGCCTATGCCATATGCTGTGTGAAAGGAGTGCCTAGAGATGTCGGCCATCCCTCTATCCCCACATAAAGCATGTAGATGCTATGCTGGTATCAGATTTGTAACATTGGCAGAAGTTGCTGATTGTTAGCTTTAGCTTCCACTCCTTGGAACTTGAGGAGAAGACAATAGTGGTCATGTGACCACTACAAAAAAAGGTAAAAAAAAACCCCAGTATTTACTAGATTGTAAGCTCCAAGGAGCAGGGCCCGCCTATCCCTCTTGTATTGAACTGTATTGTTGCTGTATTGTCTCCCGTTATATTGTAAAGCGCTGAGCAAACTGTTGGCTCCATATAAATCCTGTATTATAATAATAATAATAATAATAATGTGGTTGGTTTGTTGAAGCCATGCTGACTGTTCATTGTTTTTTAAAACACAAAGGGTTAACATGCACTTAAATCTTGACTGAAGGTCAGCAGAGCTTCCTATTGATGGGAATGAGTTCTGCTTTATAGGGATCCTGTCGGGACAGAAATCAGAGAACTGATACTGCTGACTTGTTTTTGGTGCATGTTCCAGGGCTGCTGTCCTTATTCATCACTTTGAGTCACTGACCAAGAACTGGCATGTGACTACCATGTTGGGACAGTTGACATGTGGAAGCATCTCCAATGTCAGCAACTCAACAAAGCTAAATTCCAAGCAGATATAAAATACACAAATTGTGGTATTCAGAAATACATTATTAGAGGCTCGCACTAAAAACAACAAAATAAAATAAAATTTACATATTTTACAGGAAACAAAATTCCTATTTTTTTTTTTTACTTTTTTATTTTTTAGCTTGGGTTCACACAGAAGCAATGCGGGGGAAACCGCAAATGATTCAGACAGGAATCGCGCAACATTCATGTTCAAATCACATGTGATTTTCAGTGTGATTTGAGCCCTGCACCTGCACAATAAAGGTGCAGGTATCCCTTTTTTTTTTTTTTTTTTTTTGCTGCACCAGAATGGGATCACATGGGTCACACCCATGCATTCTGTTTCTGGCAATCGCACTGCATTTTGTGAACTGTTTTGGGGTGTCAATAATTTTTTAATTAACACCCAACAAAACTCGTATGAACAAGGCGCTATTTCAATGTGTTGTGGGAAAAGCACAGGCGGGTCCCTTTTGAGAACATGTGTTTGCATGAAACACGTCAGTGAGGAGCCTACATGCTGACGTCCATGCGATGGTCTGGCGACCATCTTTTTGAGTGATCTGTTGCTTGTTTAATGTCTTATGCTCCACATGGCTGCAATAATTTTTAATAAAAATATACTACACTATATCACGCTGTCTTCGGGCTCTGAATGTGAGCTCTTCCCTTAGGAGGCACTCTACCTTTGATGGATCAGTGACTGGTGACATGAAGTGGACGGATACGTTCTTAGGAGTCATTTCCATTCAATGCTGGTTTGCTTTTTGCTCCTGCTGAGTGTACAATGGCGGAGGATTACCACTGAAGTCCCCTTTATTACTGATCACTATTGGTTAACACAATACATTGGACATTTTTGGCACACAAGATTACTTTTGGGACACTGTAATATTGTTTGTGAATTATATAGTGGCTATTTGAATTTTACAATATGTTGGACATTTAATTTCTGGTCATCATTCACACATAGATTAATTTTGGCACACTGTAATACTGTAAGGTAGGGTATAATGTTCACACATTTGTTGTTTGTATTAGCGCTGCACCTTTGTTTTTATGTGTTAGTTGTTTGTATGGGAAAAGCACAGTATTCACTGTATATATGTGAACCAAGGCTGACAGGAGCCTGCAATGTATTACACTAATGAGCAGGGTGCAGTGTCAGGCTCATGCAAACACTTCTTGTGGCTCTCTGCCTGGACCTGTGTATG